GTTCAAGCAAGCAAGAAGATGGAATAGAGCTTGGATTTGTCTTCTAGACCCACAAGAAGCTGCATCAGTTTGTCTTCGTTCATAGAGAGAGAGAGGTCTCAAAGTAATATTTTATTCTTTTACAAAAAATAGCACATTTTGTTGGTAACGAGGGTTGAATCCAAGATCTTATTAAAATCTTTCAACTGAGCTTTGCGCGTGTTTCAAGTGTTTCTTGAAACACAATTTTTTTGCTCCTATTTTTTTGACTTGTTTTCAAGACAATTAAGATGAAACAAAAAAATAAAAATAATTATCAAACACGTTTTTGTTTTCAATTTTGACAAAAATTAAAAACAAGAGACAAAAACAACAAACAAATATGTCGTAAGTTTTTATTGTTATAAATTATTTTTCGATATAAAAGCATATGATGTGTAAGACTCTCAACATTATTACCTATCATATAATTTCTGATGCATGCACTTATCTTACCAGCTGGAGTGAGATTTTTTATAATATATTTTTATATTTTTTTTGAGTGAATTATCTATTGTCAAATCAAATAGGAACTATAATGATAGATGATTTGATAAAAAAAAAATATTACTAAAATATGGATCATGTTCGAACACGTTTGACAAAATTGTCATCCCCGACCAACCTTAGATTGATTTTTCAATTTTTTTTATATAAGAGTAATGCAATTAAAACTTAATAATTAGTCTAATTTAATGAAATAATAATATAATAATGACATGATTTAATAGTATTCTTGTAACTACAATCGTTGAACTTCTTCATTAAAATTCTATTACTAGACATATTATTATGCTAATAAATTATATTAATTTTTAAATTTTAATAATATTATTTTTCATATATTAACAAAAAAAAAAATTTCAAAACCTCAAAGAAAAGGGGAAACGTTGAAGGGAAGTCAGAAGTTAAACAAAAGTAAGTGAAATCAGTAATGCTAAAGAAACCAAATTTTGGGATCAAATTTGGAGTCCAAATGATATAGCAATTAACTTGGGCTTCTTTGATTGATGTGATATCATTTGGGCCCCAATAAAAATTTTAAATAATTAACTGTCATATCATTTAGACTCTAAATTTGATCCCAAATTTTGACTAGTCTAGCATTACTCAAGTGAAATAAATCAACACAAATTTAAAAGTTTGGTTCCTATAAGTGCCGCTTTCATCAGTCCAAATGTTGTCACCCAAGAGAGTGAGGCTTGAACCCACCCAGAAAGGAAAATGACGATCACAGTACCTAGAGTCAAACTAGGTTCACAAGGTTTTGAAGTATCAAAGAGGACTAGGCTGCAAGGGCATGTCTTTTAGCTATGCTCCTTTCAAGCGAGAAGAAGACATGATCAAACTCATCCACTGGCGTCACCTTCCTCAACACCTCCGACATCTATGGTCCACACACTAACGAACTCCTTATCGGCAAGGTACTCTTCGATCCCTACTCGCTTCAATCGAAAGCATAGTTACTATTGTGAACGAATCCAAGTTTAGGGGCGCACAATTCCCAAATTTTGTACTCAACTTTATTAAAACAAATCATATTGTTACTTTTTGTTTTATTGAGGGTGTAGTGTATACGTATTGAGTTTTCATGATGAACATTAAGAATTGGAAGATGTTTTCAAGTGATAAAATGTGATTTGCACAGTAAATAATTGATGAGCCCAAAATCAACTGGGCTAGGCCCAATAAACCAAGAGGAGCCTAAATCACCCAATAAGGATTGGAGCACGTGTGAGAAAATATCGGGATACGCATTACAAAATTTTAATTATACCATAACTGTACTTACTAAAACATAGTGACCACCTCACCAAACTTATATAATGTAAGTCTTCTCCAAATAGAAGGCATCACCTTAAAACCTCTACACACCTCTTTACACCTAGTATCTCTCTCCTAAGGCATTGTAATACCCCAGAGCATACTCTTCCGGTGACTTTTGTTCATCAATAAAACACATTCGACCACTGCTGCCGTTCCCTAGAGTGGAGTAGGTCATCTGGACTAAACCACTATATATCTTTGTGTTGATTCCATATTTACGGTTTTCGCTATTGATTGCCTGTTTACTGCTTATTAATTGCACCCTTACATATACTCGACTGTTGATCTTGCGCAATACCAATTTGTACATCATCAATAATGATGGGGTTAATTGCAGAGGAGATTTCTAAAGTATAGAGATTGTCTTATTTTAGTCTTCAATATTTTAATTTAGGTCCTGAAGTATTGAATATATTTTTATGTGATTTCTCAAGAAGATAGTATTCAAATTTTTGAACATACGCAATACCTAAATATGGCAATAATTAATTTGCATAGCACTTGACGAAAATTTGGGTAACTTTTGATAAAAAAATGTATAATATCAGTGGCTCTTGACTAAAATTTGAAGAGGACATGATCAAACTATGACCAAAATTTTGATAAAAATTTGGTCAAGGATCATCCAAATTATTATTTTTTCCTATATTTAGGTAATGGGTGGCAAAATTATAATAAAAAATTGATAGAAATTTCAACGCTGTCTGTGTGGTCTCCACATAGAAACATATTTAAAATTTCAGATACTATAATATGCAATTAAAATATTAGGGATCAAAATGAGACATACCCTATAATTTGGGACCTCCAATGTAATTAACTCTAATGATGGTGAACTAACAAATTCTATGGCAAATGAACGGATTTTAAATTCTAATCTTTCTTCATACTTACTATTAATGGGTGGGACACATATGGATAATATGGTCCCATTTCTTTCATGTTGGGTAACTTGAATTGAGAGAATTTTGGTACTGATAGCATTCGAATCTATTCTCATGTATCGTTCAGCCCCCTCATTCCCATAGATTCATTGTTGTTTGTGGAACTGAAGTTTTAGGATACTAGAAGGTGGAAAGAAAGATATCTGTGGCAATCCGGCCTATGTGCGAGAGGCTTGTGAGGCTAGCCTGAAGCGGCTTTGTGTTGACTATATCTATCTCTACTAGGTTCATCGCATCAATACTTGCATACCAATTGAACTCACGGTTGGTCTATTTTACCTATTTGTGATCTTCATAATGTATTATCATGTTAATAGTGATTATGGATCTTGTTGTATTTTTCCCTACAATTAATTTATTTTAGTGTTGTAGACATTTCTGATAGTTTACGACTAGGTATAAGGATGATTACTCTTTATTTTCATCATCATTTGACAAGCCAAATTTGGGAACAAGTATTACTAAATTTTGGTCATCTAAGTCGATGGATCTCTTCATTACACGCATATTCTTGAAATAAAGACCATATCCTGTTCTTTATCTCCATTCATTTCCATTTTATATGCATTTCATTATACATTGATTTTTTTGGTACTCTTCTTTTCTGGTCTTGGTCATTTTGCAATTGTAAACGGCTCTTTTATAGCTGCTATTGTTGGTACTTTTGGTTAAAATGTTCTTGGAGATCTAGTGCAGCAAATCAAAGGTTGGAACCAATGTTACCTGGATCGTAGGTCATTTTGGTACGTAGTACGGGTACGAGGATATAGTACGACACTTTCTTAGGTACGCGGTACGATGAGAGTAGGTTTAGTTGGTATGGTATTTTAGGTTGCAATTCGTTTTAAAATTCTTATGCAAATCGTTATCACTATGATACAACATTATATATTACAGAACATTCATAAATACTAAGTTAGTTACCATTTATCTTATAATTGTACTTGATTTTCTATTATCTAAAATAATATATAATTATAAATCTATATACATATAGTCAATTAATATGTATTTTATATTTGTTCTACATATTCTAAAATGAAACGATTTAGTGTTAGTATTACAATTTGGGTCATCCATTTTGGTGATTTAGATCGCGTACTCACTTTATTTGGAATCGATGCACCCAAATCGTGGGTCGTTAAAGGTCTATTGAATTGTCGTAATCATGGTTGGAACCTCATGTGCACAAAGTGTATGGATATGAATAAGTGACTAGTAGAAATGACTTACATGCCAACAATTGAGTAGTGAAAAAAAATGTAATTTGCCAAATCTACCTCACATCACATTCATTGATGAAATTAATATTGTTTCATATTTTCCCCACATCAAGCTAATCAGTCAGTCTTTCTAAAAAAAAAAAGCTAATCAGTCAGTCTTGATTTCGATAATTTGGTTAGATATTCAAAAATGGCCAAAACGTTGGTTGTGGATGGAAAGGATAAATTTGGGTCCATTGGTAAAACTCATGATTAGTCAATAATCGGTGGGGAATATACCACCTCCAAGACATGCAATTTGACCCAAGATAAAAAGGTTAAATTTCCTTCACTGCCATGAAAGATGACGTGTTATAAGTTTTGTGGCTCTTTTGTCTCTTTGAAACATGTCTTTTGTGATGTTGCCCTCACGCATTCACCTTGTATTACTATTTTTCACGGCAGAAACTTTTCAGTGCGATTTGATATCCCTTCCTTGTTAATGTGTTAATCTTTCTTTAAGTGATCATATGATTTATTGAGCTTTGGAACCCAACATCATCAATGATCCATTCTTCAATTTTTTTATCATGGTTTATTTATTTATTTTTACCCCGGGCTAGCGGTGCATGGAGCATCGCCTGGTTTTTTTATTTATTTTCTGTGACTAGCATCAATTTTGCTGGAGCTCTTATTAATCATTTAGTGGGGATCATTTGGTAATGAGAAAAATTACCATACTCCTGAGCTATAACCAGACAACCATTTTCTGTTAGTGGCATACTTATCGCAAATGGGTTTTTTTTGGTAAAACTAATAGCAAGTAGAGTTATATAATGTATATTGTGTTAAACTCTTTATTGTTATGCACCATAAATTGATGAACATCTCCATTATCATCCGTCACTTCCTATTCCCCCCCTCCACCCCATGCTACCCTAGAAAAAACCAATTTGAAAAAGCTCATGTCACATTTTCCTTGATCGCTTTTGTGACATGCTTTTACAAGATGGGAGCACTCAAGAAATTGATTGAAGAGGGGAAAATAAAATACATTGGTCTATCTGAGGCCTCACCTGATACAATCAAAAGGGCGCATGTTGTTCATCCAATAACAGCTATACAACTTGAATGGTCCTTATGGACACGAGATGTAGAGGAAAAAGTCATTCCCACTTGTAGGTGAGGCATTTGCCTGTGCTAAATGCTAACTCTCTTGCTTGGGAAGTGATGAGCGATCCTAATTTATTAGTTCATTACTCTTATAAATTTTCAGAGAACTTGCCAATGGGATTGCTCCATTTTGTCCTTTAGGAAAGGGCTTCTTCACTTCAGGTCCCCAGATAGTTGAGAAATTGTCAGAAAATGACTTCAGAAAGGTATGTAGCTTTTGAGAGATTAAATTATATGTTCAACATTATTATGGGGTTAATATTTTTCCTCTGGGCATTCTTGGACAAAAATGATTTTCTAGCTGATCATCTGTCCTACTAACGTCTGAATATCCAGAGGGAGTCCGTTGGTTATAGCTAACAAATGTTGAGGGTCTTCTGTGTTATTTTTAAAATGTTAGGGTATCACATTTCATTTGATAAAAAATTAAGGATCTATATGATTTTTATCGTAAAAAATTAATCTTTTCATAAAGGAAAAAACCAATAATGAGACTATTACTCAGAGTGAGCAACTATGTAACAACTTAGTGAAGCTTAATTTGGACTTCTTTTTCTTTCGTTGACAATTGCTAGCAAACTTTCGATGAAATGGTGTGTTTTTGAATATGTCGGATAGCAATTTATGTGTAATAGAGTGCTCTAGAGGATCAGTACTGAGTGTAATGCAGTCACAAATACGAATCCCCATATTTGAGTTTTTTTTCCTTGTTAAATTTGTATAATTGACCTCATATGGGTTTCTCCCCAAGGTCGTGGTTGGTATTAAGAATAATTGATTAAAAACAGGTCTCGAATTACTTGTTTCCACGTCAACAAAATATCTATTGTAATAAATTTATTTTTAAAAAATGAAGAATGTAGTTAAGTATTTTTTTTTTTTTTTTTGTTTTTTTGTGTCGCTTCACATTTTACTGAGCTTATTGGGTGGGCCTTGGTGCAGTGGTAAGGTTGCTCCATGGCAACTAGGCATCTAGGGAGTGAGTCATGCAAATAGTTTATGCACAAGTAGGGGTGCAACTACGTACATCGATTTAACCTTCCTTGGACCCCCACTGTGGTGGGACATTCGTGTACTTAGTGGTCGTTTCTTTTTTTGTTTACATTTTAATGAGGCCCCTTCTAGAGGGGAAGGATGATATTGCTCTCTAATTCCTTGTGATGCATATCAATTGAGAAGATAGCTTGCTGATATTAGAATCATATTTGATGGATTTCTATATAAAGAAACACCGATACTCTCCTCCTACATTGGGTAACCTGATGTATTGTGAATCATGCATGTGTATAATCATGTTGGTATCAAAATCTTTTTAGTAGGATCACAATGAGGAACCAAGTGTATTATGCATTGGATGAGGAACCATGTGTTGTGGTACTGAAATTTGCTTGAGCATGGATACTAGGAATAACATCTATGGGCATGAATCTATATTGCTTTGTAGTGATGTCATTGGAATGTCTTTTGACCTTTTGTAGACTGTGCCAAGGTTCCATCTTGAGAATGTAGAGCATAACAAAATGTTGTACGAGCTGGTAAATGTAATAGCAACAAGGAAGCGATGCACCACATCGTAGCTAGCATTGGCTTGGGTCCATCACCAAGGGGAGGACGTGTCCCCCATACCTGGTACCACCAAGATTGAACACTTCAACCAGATAGTCAAAGCTTTGTCTGTAAAACTAACACCCGAAGATATGGCCGAGATTGAATCCATTGCTACAACTGATGTAGTAAAGGGTGAGAGGTATTTAAAAGAATACATGGCTAACACTTGGAGGTTTGCAAGCACACCTCCCCTATCCTCTTGGAAACCTGAATGACGATGACCACCCTCTTGGTGCAAACACTCATCCTATTGGTGCCTGCTAATACTGTTGGTCCGGATGATGACCCGACCCAAAAAATGTTGCATGATTTTTAATGAAAAATTTTTTGAGGCTTAGTCCATGGAGCGAAGGCTTGGGGGCGTAGTGTTGATTTTTTCTATACAGCCGCCGTCCTCTCTGTAATCGTTCTTGAGAATAGTGAAACCCCTGCAACTTCTTGAAGATAAGCAAATTATCGAACCACGTAAATATTGTCTTGTGTGTGTGATTATTTTTCTTTGGCGTGTGTTTTCTCTATTGTTGATTCTCACAAGTTTTGAAATTTCGTGCAAATTTTCTAACAATTGGTATCAGAGCCTGGTTTAGGGTTGAGTGGGAGCAATGACAGAGGAAGCAGGAAAGGCATCTGGAATAGAAAAGTTCGATGACACAGACTTTGGATTCTGGAGGATGCAAATCGAGGATTATCTTTATGGGAAGAAGTTGCATCTGCCGCTTCTAGGGGAAAAACCTGCGACTATGAAGGATGAAGATTGGACTCTTCTTGACAAACAAGTACTGGGAGTTATCAAGTTAACTCTGTCTAGGCCTGTTGCGCACAATGTTGTAAAGGAGAAGACCACAACAGATTTGATGAAGGTTTTGTCTGATATTTATGAAAAGTCGTATGCAAACAACAAGGTGCATCTGATGAAGAAATTGTTCAATTTGAAGATGGCAGAGAACGCATCAGTAGCACAGCATTTGAACGAGTTTAACACTATCACAAATCAATTGTCGTCTGTAGAAATTGATTTTGATGATGAGATTCGTACATTGATCATTTTAGCTTCTCTACCAAACAGTTGGGAGGCAATGAGGATGGTAGCAAGCAATTCTACAGGAAAGGAAAAACTGAAGTACAATGACATACGAGATTTAATTCTGGCCGAGGAGACTCGCAGAAAAGATGCAGTTGAAACCTCAGGATCTGGTTCTGCACTAAACCATGAGACAAGAGGCAGAGGTAATGACATAAATTCAAATCGGGCCAAATCAAAATCCAAAAATTCTAATCGGAATAGAAGTAAATGTAGATCAGACCAACAAGCAAAATGCTAGAATTGTGAAAAAATGGGTCACTTTAAGAGGCAATGCAAAAGTCTTAAGAAGAAGAATGAAGATGATTCTGCTAATACTGTAACGAAAGAGGTACATGATGCATTACTTCTTGCAATAGACAGTCCATTTGACGATTGGGTTTTGGACTCAGGAGCTTCGTTTCATACTACTCCACACCAAGAAATCATGCAGAACTATGTTGCAGGTGATTTTGGTAAGGTGTATTTGGCTGATAGTACATCCTTGGATGTTATGGGTATGGGAAACATCCGAATATCATTGTCCAATGGGTCTGTTTGGTTACTGGAGAAGGTTCGACATATTCATAACCTGAGGAGGAATCTGATTTCTATTGGGCAACTTGATGATGAATGGCATGCTATACTGTTTGTTGGTGGTACTTGGAAGATCACAAAGGGAGCCAGAGTATTGGCTAGTGGAAAGAAGACTGGTACTCTATATATGACCTCAAGTTCAAGAAACACAATTGCAGTCGCTGAAACAAGTACTGATACAAGCTTATGGCACCGCATACTTGGTCATATGAGTGAGAAATGGATGAAGATGCAGCTGTCAAAGGGGAAACTACTAGAATTAAAGTCTGCTGATTTTGACATGTGTGAAAGCTGCATCTTAGGAAAGCAGAAAAAAGGTGAGCATCTTGAAAACTGGTAGAACACCAAAGGCTGAAAAATTTGAGTTAGTACACACGGATTTGTGGGGGCCTTCTCCGGTTGCATTCGTGGGGGTTCAAGGTATTACATCACTTTCATTGATGACTCAAGTAGAAAGGTATGAGTTTATTTTCTAAAAAATAAATCTGATGTATTTTATACTTTTAAGAAGTGGAAGGTTATGGTTGAGACAAAAACAAGTTTGAAAGTAAAATGTTTGAGGTCAGACAATGGAGCAGAGTACATAGATGGAGGGTTCAATGAGTATTGTTCTGCACATAGAATTAGGATGGAGAAAACCATTCCTGGGACACCACAACAAAATGGTGTGGTTGAGCGCACGAATAGAACTCTCAATGAGCGTGCTAGGAGTATGAGGTTGTATGCTGGACTACCAAAGACTTTTTGGGCTGATGCTGTTAGTACTGCAGCTTACCTGATAAATCGAGGACCTTCAGTGCCTATGGAGTTCAGACTTCCTGAAGAGGTATGGAGTGGTAAAGAAGTAAAGTTTTCCCATTTAAAAGTTTTTGGTTGTGTTTCATATGTTCATATTGATTCTGATGCTCGTACTAAACTTGATGCAAAGTCTAGAATATGTTTTTTCATTGGTTATGGTGATGAGAAATTTGGCTATCGTTTTTGGAATGAACAGAACAGGAAAATCATCATAAGTAGAAATGTGATATTTAATGAACAGGTTATGTACAAGGACAAATCAACTGTAGTGTCAGATGTCACAGGGATAGATCAAAAGAAATCTGAGTTTGTCAACTTAGATGAATTGACTGAAAGTACTATCTTGAAAAGGGGTAAAGAAGATAAGGAGAATGTAGAATCACAGGTAGAATAGAGTACACCTGTAGCTGATGTCCGTAGATCTTCCAGGATCATTAGACCTCCATAGCGTTATTCACCCGCTTTAAATTACCTCTTGTTGACTGATGGTGGTGAGCCACAGTGTTATGATGAAACCTTGCACGATGAAAATTCAAGCAAGTGGGAGTTAGCCATGAATGATGTGATGGAGTCCTTGTTGGGGAATCAGACATGGGAACTGACTGAATTGCCAGTAGGGAAAAAGGCTTTGCACAACAAATGGGTATACAGAATTAAGAATGAGCATGATGGTAGCAAGAGGTATAAAGCCAGATTAGTTGTCAAAGGGTTTCAGCAGAAGAAGGGCATTGACTTCTCAGAAATATTTTCTCCAATTGTGAAGATGATGACAATTAGACGGGTATTGGGAATGGTGACTATAGAAAACCTACATCTTGAGCAGTTAGATATGAAGATGGCATTCCTTCATGGTGACTTGGAGGAAGACATTTACATGATTCAGACAGAAGGGTTCATTGTTCAAAGACAAGAGAATCTAGTCTACAAACTGAGAAAGAGCTTATATGGCCTAAAACAAGCTCCAAGACAGTGGTATAAGAAATTTGACAGTTTTATGCATAGAACTGGGTTTAAGAGATGTGAAGCTGATCATTGTTGTTATGTTAAGTTCTTTGGCAATTCTTACATCATTTTACTATTATATGTGGATGATATGCTTATTGCAGGGTCTAGCATTGAGGAAATTAACAATCTGAAGAAACAGTTGTCAAAATAGTTTGCAATGAAAGATTTGGGAGCTGCAAAACAAATCCTTGGTATGAGAATCATCAGAGACAGAGTCAAGGGCACGTTTAAATTGTCGCAAGCCGAGTATGTGAAAAAGGTACTCCGTAGATTCAACATGGATCAAGCCAAACCAGTTGGCACACTGCTGGGTAGTCACTTCAGACTTAGCAAAGATCAGTCACCTAAGACAGAGGAGGAAGATGAGCACATGAGTAAGGTTCCTTACGCTTCAGTTATTGGTTCACTTATGTATGCTATGGTTTGCACAAGACCGGACATTGCCCATACAGTGGGAGTTGTGAGTAGATACATGAGCAGCCCAAGAAGACAACATTGGGAGGCTATGAAGTGGATTCTGAGGTACCTGAAAGGTTCCTTAGAAGCATGCTTGTGTTACACCAAAGATAGTTTGGAGTTATAGGGTTTTATTGATGTCAACTCGACTGAAGACACTGATAGTAGGAAGAGCACCACCAGTTTTGTTTACACCTTGGGTGGTACTGCCTTGTCTTGGGGTTCTAACTTGTAGAAAACAGTATCCTTTTCTATTATAGAGGCCGAGTATGTTGTAGTGTCAGAGGCTTCAAAGGAGATGAATTTATTACAGAGTTTCTTGGCGGAACTGGGTAAAAAAAAACAGAAGGGTACTTTTTACAGTGATAGTCAGAGTGCTATATTTCTTGCCAAGAATTCGGCATTTCATTCCAGAACGAAGCACATTCAGATCAGGTATCATTTCATACGGTCTTTTCTTGATAATGGTCAGTTGATACTTGAGAGGATCTGTGGAACTAAGAACCCGGCAAACATGTTGACTAAGGGTGTCACTATTGAGAAGCTAAAGCTGTGTGCAGCTTCAGTTGGCCTTCTAGCTTGAGGACATGAAGATAAGTTGCAGGGATGAGGGACTATTCTTGGGAGGATTGTAATTGATGTTGGTGAAATAGTCTCCAAGTGAGAGATTTGTTGGGCTTTTTTTGTGGAGTCTAGTTTTTTATGTTGATCTGGATGATGACCCGACCCAAAAAATGTTGCGTGGTTTTTAATGGAAAATTTTCTGAGGCTTAGTCCATGGAGCGAAGGCTTGGGGGCTTAGTGTTGATTTTTTCTATACGGCCGCCGCCCTCTCTGTAATCGTTCTTGAGAATAGTGAAACCCTTGCAGTTTCGTGAACGTAAGCAAATTGTCGAACTACGTAAATATTATCTTGCGCGTGTGATTATTTTTCTTTGGCATGTGTTTTCTCTATTGTTGATTCTCACAGGTTTGGGAATTTCGTGCAAATTTCCTAACAATACCACCTCATTGCTTTTGAAGTAATTCTATGTGCTTGTTCCTAGGGAATGTATATCTGAGATTTCTTCTTATGTTGAACCATTTTATTTTGTTGAATAAAGATTAGACTTGTATTTCTTTTTTCGTTTTGTCCTTTGAGTAAATTTAATCTACATATTGTCTTCAATTTAGCTCCAAAATGATTTCCTTGGAGGAACCAACCAAGTAGGTTGTAGGATATTAGCAGGAAATTGGTTGCTTTGATTGAATTACACAGAGAGGTCTATTTTATGGAGATTACACCAAACAATGGATTAA